AGCACAAACATAAACACGAAAACGAACAGAAACACAAACGCAACACACACACACACACACACCTACACCCACACCCACACCCACACCCACGCCCTCACCCACACCCACACCCACACCCACACGCACACGCATACGCCCTAGCACACGCACACATAACCACACCACACACACACACTTTTTCGCGTCGGCGACTAGGCAGGGTGACTGCGCTGGCGGAAGAACGTAAGTAGGACTTAAACGTGCGAATCAAGCCGAGATGCACGGGGGAGAGAGAAGGAACGCCCAGCGAAGACACACACACACACACACACACAGACACACGCACACGCACACGCACACACACAGACCGCGAGCGCGGTTGCGGGGTTCTTCGGCTGGTTCTTCATGGTCCTCATCGAAACATTCGGCGGCGCGCCGAGGGGAGAGAAAGTGAGAGGGGACAGGCTTTCTCAGAAGGCGGCGGGGCTTCTCCGAAGCCCTCTATTGCTTCGGAGAAGACCTAGAAAGCTTCTCAGAAGGCCAGGGGCCTTCTGAACCTTCTGAGAACGCCCGCCCCCTCTGCCTTCCCCCCTGGGCGCGCCGTCGAATCATGAGTAGTGGCGTTCTGCTTCAAAAGGCAAACACGACTCGTTGAATTCAAAGGGTGCTGCAGGCCATGGCGCACATCATCGTCAGCGAGCCCTGGTCTTCTGGCATCCCTGGGTGTTGCCATCATTCGCGCTTCCTCTACGAGCACGTGCATTCGCACCACCATACGACCAGAATGTGCGGAACACGTCTTACCAGCACCCTTTGGAGTTTCTCGTTATCACAATGAGGACAACTTGGGTTGATCACGATTTGTTGAGAGCATGTTCTCATTGCGGCGGCGTAGAATCTATGGTGTACTGCGCCAGCGAAGAGGTGCAGAATGACAACTGTCGCCTTCTCAATGGCAAAGACGGCTTCCTAGACTTTGGAGATCGGAGAGGGATCTGATCTTGTGGGGTGTGCAAATGCTATGATGGCGATGCTATGACATCCACAAGTGCGTTGCATCCCGAATTCAACAGCGCAGGCTTTGCGCCGGCCTCTTCAAACAAAGTCAGAGTAGGTCATCCCAACTCCCCGAGCGACCGCCATCCAATCTGAACAGCGACAAAATGCCCATCTGCCCATCGCATGACGCCTTATCGCCAAGTTCGCGATTCCAGAGATTCCTGAATTTCCGAAATTCGTTTTTGGGATTCCGGAATTTCGGGAGCGTCGTTTGGGAATTTCCTGAACATGGTTCGTACTGGAACAGAGCTATGTGTGAATTCCGGAATTTTGGGAACTACGTTTTTGGCGGTACGGAAACTCGGGAACCACGGTTGTCGCGATTCGGGATTTCCGTAATTGTGTGTTTGGTGATCGGGCGTCATGGCACAGGTGATTGTGTTGCTGTTCACCTAGGACTCAAGAATTCTGACGTTGTTTGAGGTGGTCGGCGCAAAGCCAACGCTGCAAACATATTTGCGCAAGATGGTCCCCGTGGCTACGCTCCTCGGCACGGCCTTTGTGCCAGCACTTACAATCAAGGGATTGCCCATTGAAGCCCTTCGGCTTGGCGCGCGCTTTCGCATCGCTGGCTCGGCTCGATCAGTTGAGGAAGGAGCGAGGGGAGATGATGGGGGAGAAGAGGGCGGAGATGCGATCCACCTTCTCTTCCTCTGTGTTCACCCGGATGTCTTTGGTAAAACGCGTCCTCGAAGATCCTGCTTCATATGTTCTGCTCCTGTCCCGCCTGCTGGGTGCCGCTGTCACAGTCTGCGCTCTGCCATCAGATCCTTGTAATAGAACCAAGCGCGCAGGCCGAAACTTCGCGCGCCTGAATCCTAACTCAGGCCAGGGCGTCGTCACAACAGTGGATTCATGCTACGATACCTCGTGGTGCTGACGCCAGCCAGCGATACCTGGCCGTGATTTTCGGAGCATCTCGCTCCATGTATTCTCTTATAGCGTCCTCCCACCCAACATTCCTTCTACATCCTCCTCGATTCTCCTCCAGTCTCTCTCGCTGGTCCTCGCAGTCTATTTCTCGCTCCTCTCGACTGCCTCCTCCTGCTGGGGGCTCTGCGGGACTCTAGAGCTGTTCAAGGCTGGCGTGGGTGGGTATTGAATATGAAGAGACCGCCGGCGCGAGACCAGCGCGAGCCTCCGACCCCATCCACTCCGCCCCCAGTTGGGAGGCCTGCAACTAGCTTCGCGCACATGACTCGGGCCTCCCGCGCCTGTTCGGGACGACCCCGGTGCCCCCGGAGCGCTCCCGACGCGGCGCGGCCGGTGGAGACCGCCCTGGGCTCCGAGAACAAACCCTGCGACCCGCTCGGACGCCAGGGTGATCACTGCAGACCGAGAGGCCCGGCCGGTGGCAGAGCACCGCCTGGCCGGCGAAGGCCGTCCGATGCCGCCAGTGAGGGGGCACTGCGCGGCCTGCGCGGACACGGCTCGACCGGTGCAGACCCACCACCTCCCCCTCCCCCTCTCCGCCACCGCCTCCACCACCCCCTCCTCAACCAACCTCACCACCTCATCCATTTCCTCCTCATCCACATCCACATCCACCTTCACGTCCATAATCTCCTCCAAGTCCGCCTCCACCTCCTCCTCCTCCTCCTCCTCCTCCTCCTCCTCCTGCTCCACCTCCACTCCTCCTCCTCCTCCTCCTCCTCCTCCTCCTCCTCCTCTCCTCCTCCTCTCCTCCTCCTCTCCTCCTCCTACTGCACCACCTCCACCACCTCCACCTCTACCTCCAACTGTACCTTACATCCTCCTCCACCACCACCCCACCACCTCCACCTCCTCCATCTATCCTCCACCACTAACTTGCTTGCTTCCTCTTCCCCATCCTCTCATCATCATCATCATCATCATCTCATCATCATCATCATCATCATCATCATCATCATCATCATCATCATCATCATCGTCGTCTCATCCTCATCATCATCCTCATCATCATCCTCCTCCTCATCCTCATCCTCATCCTCATCCTCATCCTCATCCTCATCATCATCATCATCATCATCATCATCAGTTTATCATCATCATCAGCATCAGCAGCAGCAGCATCACCATCCTCATCCTCCTCATCCTCATCCTCAACCTCATCCTATCCTATCATCATCATCCTCATCCTCATCCTCATCCTCTCCTCCTCATTCATCATCATCATCATCATCATCATCATCATCATCATCATCATCATCATTCAACTCCTCCACCTCCTCTTCCACCTCCTCCAACCACCTCCTCCTCTCCTCCTCTCCTCCTCCTCTCTTCCTCCCCCCTCCTCCTCCTCCTCCTCCTCCTCCTCCTCTCCTCCTCCTCCTCCTCCTCCTCCTCCTCCTCCTCCTCCTCCTCCTCCTCCTCCTCTGAGTCACCGAACTTCGCGCACCGCGCCCCGCGATGCGCGATCCCCTTCAGAACGTCGCGCCGCCCCCCGGTTGAGGGCAACCGCTCTGGCCGAGGTCGCGCTCCCGCGGGAAGCGCAGAGACCCCTCCTGACCTCACCCCCTTCGGAGGTCGGCCCGCCCAAGGAGGGGGAGCAGGAAGAGGAGGAGGATGAGGATGAGGATGAGGATGAGGACGAGGAGGTGGAGGAGGTGGAGGGCAACTAGGAGGAAGAGGAGGAGGGGGAGGGGAGGAGGAGGAGGAAGAGGAAGAGGAGGAGGAGGAGGAGGAGAGGAGGAGGAGGAGGAGGACGAGGGACGACGGAAGGGGGTGAGGAGGAGGAGGGGGAGGAGGAGGAGGAGGAGGAGGAGGAGGAGGAGGAGGAGGAGGAGACGGAGGAGACGGAGGAGGAGGAGGAGGACAAATAGGACGAAGACGAGAATGAGGAGAAATAGGAGAAGAGGAGTAGGAGAACAAATAGGAGAAGGAGGAGGAGGAGAACAAATAGGAGGAGGAGGAGGAGGAGGAGGGAAAGGAGGAGGAGAGGGAGGAGGGGAAGGAGGAGGAGGAGGAGTCGGAGGAGGTAGAGTGCAAGCCTGGACCACGCAGCCCTGGAAGGACGGCCCGAACAGGCCGTCGACGGTGCTGCCTGCGAGCGGGCCGGACGTGCGACGGGTCATCGTCGTCGTCGTCGTCGGCGGCGGCGGCGGCGTCGGCGTCGGCGTTGGCGTCGGCATCGGCGTCGGCGTCGGCGTTTGCGTCGTCGTCGGCGTCGGCGTCGGCGTCGTCGGCGTCTGCGTCGGCGTCGGCGTCGGCTTCGTCGTCGTCGTCGGCGTCGACTTCGTCCGCGTCTTAGTCGGCGTCGGCGTCGGCGTCGTCGGCGTCGTCGTCGTCCTCGTCGTCGGCATCGTCGTCGTCGGCGTCGGCGTCGGCGTCGGCGTCTGCGGCGTCTGCTTCGGCGTCGTCGTCGTCGTCGGCATCGTCGTCGTCGGCGTCGGCGTCTGCTTCGGCGTCTGCTTCGGCGTCTGCTTCGGCGTCGTCGGCATCGTCGTCGTCGGCGTCGGCGTTGTCGGCGTTGTCGGCGTCTGCTTCGGCGTTCGGCCCCTCGGCCGTGCCAGGGTGCACAGCGGCGCCGTGCAGGCATCGGGCCTCGTCGGCGCGGAGTCGGGATCGAGTCGGATCGGCCGCGCTGGGACACAGAGCAGCGCCGCGCAGGGCTCGGGCCGCATCGGGTCTTCGGAAAATCCCAGGCTTAGGTAAGGCGTGTCCCCCTACAGGCGGATTTCGGGCGAACATTTCGAGATTGCCACAAGAACAACTCAAAAGCAGTCAACAAATTGTAGAAAAATCGTCCCCAGACTATTTCTTGCCTACTCTTGAATTTGGGGCACGTTGGGGCGGGGGTGCGCTTGCGATCGCCCTAGCATGCGCGCGAGCACCCTGATGTGGGGGTGTCCTCCCCCCCCCAGGTACGATCGTTACCGGTACCCAGGTCACCCAACTTCGCGCATACAGTGTAGCTACCATTCAAAACGCTACGCTAATCCCATCGGCCCTCAAGGGCGTGAGTGGTTTAGGGAGTTACCTCGTCCAACCTCCCTTCTTCTCCTTCGGGGAAGGGTTTACCCCTCCCCCTGGACCTGTACGGGGGGGGGGGGGGCGTTAGAGAGCGTCCAAGATGGCCTCGGCGAGAAGGCCGACATCATTGGTTGTACAGTGTTTTGGCCAGATTCGGGCCTCCTGGGGGGGGGCCGTCCTTAACTTCGACCCCTCCTTTGATCGATCACCTCCAGATGGCGTCAAGATGGCTCCCGAGGCTCCTAAGAGTGCCCTCAGAGGGCAGATGTTCCCAAGAGATCCCCAAGATGCCCCAAGAGGCTCCCCCGAGGAACACAAGACGCTTCACGAGGCCCCTGGACCGCCACGAGGCCCCCAAGACGCCCATACAGGCATACAAGGAGCTCTCCAGAAACATCCGAAGAGACTCCGAGAAGCATCCAACAAACTTCTGGCCTTTCTGCTCGCCCTCCTCATCTTCCCTCCTCCCTCCTTCCCTCCTCCTCCTCCCTCCTCCTCCTGCTCCTCCTCCTCCTCCTCTCCTCCTCCTCCTCTCCTCTCCTCTCCTCTCCTCGTCCTCGTCCTCCTCCTCCTCCTCCTCCTCCGCCTCCTCCTCTTCCTCATCCCTGCTCCCTGCTCCTTGCTCCCTGCTCCCCCTCCTGCTCCCCCTCCCCCTCCCCCTGCTCGTCCTCGTCTTCGTTCTGGTCCTCGGCCGCGTCCTCATTATGTTAATACGCCTCCTTTCCTACCCCCTTCCTACTCCTCCTCCTCCCTCCTCCTCTCCTCCTCCTCTCCCTCTCTCTCATCCTCATCCTCATCCTCATCCTCTCTATCCTCCTCTTCCTCTCTCCCTATTCTCTTCCTCTTCCTCTCATCGCCTCCTCCTCCACCTCCTCCTCGTCCTCCTTCTCTTCTTCCCTCTTTTCCTCCTCCTCCTCCTCCACCACCTCCACCTCCTCATCCAGTCCTCCAGTCCTCCAGTCCTCCAGTCCTCCAGTCCTCCTCCTCCTCCTGCTCCTCTTCCGCCTCCTCCTCCTCCTCCTCCTCCTCCTCCTCTCCTCTCCTCTCCTCTCCTCTCCTGTCCTTTCCTCTTCCTCCTCCTCCTCCTCCATCACCTCCTCCTCGTGGTTCCTTCTCCACCATCCCCCTCTTAGTGTGTGACTACTTCCCAGCCTCTATGCCAATGCGTGCTTCCCCATGCGTGATTGTTGAGTCAACTCGCCTGGACATCGTTTCTGAATGGGCTGGTGGGGTCATGCGAAGCGTCTAGAATTACGAGGCCACGGAGTTCTGTTCTGGCTCCTTATGTCAGGACCTTGACTGTAGCGTGTAGCGCCCCGCGATGCGCGACTCGCAGTCATCTTCGCGCCCTCGCGAGACCACTCTGCTGGGGGCGACCGACCTGAGTTACCCGTGGGGGTGAACACACAATCTCCCAGAATCGGCGGGAGGAGGAGGGGGAGGCGGAGGAGGAGGCAGAGGGATCGGATAGTACAGAGGAGGATGAGGAGGAAGAGGAGGATGAGGATGAGAATAAGGATGGGGAGGATGAGGCCGAGAAGAGGAGGAGGAGGAGGAGGAGGAGGAGGAGGAGGAGGAGGAGGAAGAAGGGGGGGGAGGGGAGGAGGAGGAGGAGGAGGATGGGAGGAGGAGGAGGAGGAGGAGGAGAAGAAGGAGGAGGAGGAGGAGGCGGAGGGAGGAGGGAGTACACACGATGATGAGACAGAAGATGAGGAGGGGGAGGAGACGGCGGAGGAGGAGGAGAAAGAGAGAAGAGGAGGATGAGGAGGATCGGAGGAGGAGGAGGGGACGGAGGATGGGGGAGGAGGGAGGGTGAGGAGGAGGAGGAGGCGGAGAAGGAGGAGGAAGAGGAGGAAGAGGAGGCAGAGGATGAGACGAAGGAGGGGGAGGAGGGGTGAGGAGGACGAGGAGGAGGAAGCGGATGAGGAGGATGCGGAGGAGAAGGTGGAGGAGGAGGAGGAGGAGGAGGAGGAGGAGGAGGGGAGGAGGAGGAGGGGAGGAGGAGGAGGAGGGGGGGGGAGAGGAGGAGGGTAGGAGGAGGAGGAGGTTGGGGGGGGGGGTGCGAGGGGGGAGGTTTATGATGAAAATGATGATGCTGCTGATGATGCTGATATTGCTTATGTTGGTGATGCTAATGCTGATGCTGAGTATGACGATGCTGCTGTTGGGGATGACGATGATTGTCATGCTGATGATGGTAATCATGATGATACTGATACTGATGATGTCGATTATGCCGCTGATGGTGATGACGGTGCTGGCGATGGCGATGCTAATGACGCTGTTGCTGATGATAAGTATGGTGATGTTGACGATGATGGTGATGATGATGATGATGTTGATGATGCTGATATGGATGATGGTGATGATGATGATGATGATGATGATGATGATGCCGATGATGCTGATGATGATGATGCCGAGGGTGATGATCTGATGATGCTGCTGAATGTGACTATCATGATGATGATGCTGACTATGCTGGTGATAATGCTGATGATGATGATGATGATGATGATGATGATGATGATGATGATGATGATGATGATGATGATGATGATCACCTGATGCTTGTTTAAGCCGTCACTTGGCTTACAGAAGCGTGCAAACTAATTCAGCATGCGGGGGGCGGGGAAGATCCTGCCGTCCGTTCTTGTCCAAAAAAGGCCCAATTGGCCCGTCAAAAACCGACACCGCGGTCTGGCGGTAACCCCTGCCACCCGTTCCAAGCTTCAGCGAATACCGTGCTGTTGCCATTGCGCCATTGGCTCCATGCTACGCTTGGATCGTGTGCGCGGCCTCTGCCTCCTTCGTGAGAGCTGTTCGCTGGCTTGTCAACTCCATTTCGAACGTGCTTGCCCAAAGCTCCCAACCAATTTCTTTGCACGTCCGGATCAGAATGACGTACGTGCTCGTGCACAAGGGCACCTTCGCCTGAACCGAGTCCTTGTACAATTCTACGGCGTATTCAACACGCTGATGCTTAATGCACGACTGGATTGTATGATGGTAAGCGAACCGGTCGGGCTGGAAGGACTGCTCTCGCATCGCATCGAAGATGCCAATGGCTTTTGCGAATTGGTAACTGAAAGAATAGACCCTGATCATGATGCCATAAGTTCTTGCATTGGGAGCAACCGCATGACCAGCCATGTTCCCGAACAAATGTTCGGCCTCGTTGTGCATGCCAAGCTGAAGACAAGCACCCAACACTGCATTGTACGCCTTCCGCTGGAGTTGAATACCTGAGCGCTCCATCTCCTTGCTCACCTTGACAACGAATGCTGGATCGGAATGCTCGTAGGCCACAATCATGGAACGATATGCCCAATTGCTGAGGTTGACCCTGTCGCTGTGCATCTTCACAAAGTATTCCATGACAATCTGCGGAGGCTGATCATTCCACACAGAAAGCACGCGGTTCTGGGTACTAGGCGACGGATCGAGTCCATGAGCTCGAACTAAATCAAGAAGCGACACTCCGTCCCTTTGAATGCGCTTGTCATCGAGAGTTTCAGTGACGAGCTGGAAGAAGTTGTTCGACACGGCCTTGTCAATGAGGTGTGCACCAAGAACGGCCCCCTCCTTCAACATGTGGTCGAATAACTTCACAGCTACGCCTCCTCTTCCGAGTCTAATGGAGGCACGCATCACTCCCGCCACGTTTGGGAGTGTGTGGGCCACGCCCTCTCTCTGCGCGCTCTCGATGATGCGCACGGCGCGCCTCGGTCCTCGTTTGTCCTGCCGGTAGTACGTAGTTTCTGAGGCGGCGCGCGTTCCTCGACGGAGGCTGCGCAACAAGCGTCGCGGCTACGGTCGAAACCCGCCTTGCCGATCACCGACTCTGCAGCGGCCACTTTACTCAGGTATGTACCGTTGTCGATACTCTTCATGTTGCGGGAGTGGAGGAAATAGACAAGAACACCAAGCAATACCAAGACCAGTTCGATGTCGATCTCAAGACTTGGCCCCCCACAACTGCTGGACGTGGCAGAGAGAACAGCGTGTAACGCGCAGAACGCAGTACAGAGCGCTGCGACGAGCATGGCGAGAGGTACCAATGTCTTACAC